CGGCGCTTGCGTAGGGGCGCTTCGAAGTAGATTGCGCCATCGTGCAGGATGGAACGCCGCCGCCGCCGCCGCTGCAGTCGTTGCCCTTGCCGCCGCCGTTGCCGTCGCCGTCGTCGTCGCCGTTGACAACCTTGGAGCGGCCCTGGAGTGACCCCGGGCTGACCCCGTGCTCCAGGTTCAGTCCGGGGTCGGTCTGGGGTCAGTCCGGAGCCTGTCCCGGGTCAACCCGGGGTCAGTCTGGGGCCGCTCCGTGGCCACTCCGGGGCCTGTCCGGGTTGGCCCCAAGGTTACGTTCCGGCGTCTTGAAGCAAGCTGGCTCCGCGGGGGCGTGGAAAAATAGTTTTTCCATTGGCAGGGGTGGCATTTGGCCGAAGAGCCCGAACGAGCTCTGAGCCGCGGGGCCCACGATCGCCCCGAGGGGGCGCCGAGGCTCGCCCCTCCCCCCTCCCTCAGGGCCCCAAACGCCCAAGAGGGCCCCAATAGGGCCAAGCAGGCTTCCAAAAAACTCGCGGAGCGAACGATCCGCGAAGGCCTCGATGGTGGAGTCGTCGACGTTGTCGTTGTCGTTGCCAGCGTCGTCGCCGTCGTCGTCGTCGTCGTCGCTCCCACGTGCTCATTGCCTTCCTCCTACACCTCCCACCTCCTCGTTCTTTTCCCTCCCCGCTTCCTCCTGTTACTCCTCGTCCGTCTCCTCATCCTCCTCCCCCCTCCTTGTCTTCCTCTTTCCAAATAGCGGCTGCCACCTCGTCGCTTCGCTGCGTGATCTCACGCGTCTTGACCTGCGCAAATCGATCGGGCACTGCTTCTAGACGGGCAGATGGGTATACGCGAAGCGTCAGGCGCAAAAGTGTTTTCTACCGAGCCCACTGCACAACGATGTCGATATGATGGAAGCGCTCTGATGACCGCGCGCCCTTAACCAGCGCATGCGCAAGAGCGGCCGTGGGGAGCAGTTCACGGGAACCTCCCTGCTCTATCCCTTTACCATCCTCCGTCTTGTTGTCTTCCCCCTTTTCCGATGTTTCTTACTCCTCCGAGGCCTGCTTGCGTGCTTCCTTCCTTGTTCATCGGCCCCTTCCCTCTACGTAGTCTCCCAGTTGCTCGAACACTCCCTCTTTTCCCGCCTTTTCCTGCTTCCCCGCCCCGTCGCTCTTTCCGGACTGCTCGCGCAGCGTTTTCCACGGCCGCTCTTGCGCATGCGTTGCTTAGGGGCGCGCGGTCATCAGACCCCTCCTATCATATTGACATTGCGTTGCAGTAGGCTCCCACGGAACAGTCGCCCCCGCGCCACCATTCGCTGTCTGCTTTTCCGGCCCATTCTCCGTTTCGCGATGGCACCCCCGTCGTTGTTGTTGGCCCTCGTTCGCCCGCAGTGCGCGTTTAACCGAGACCTTCGCTGTATAATCACATCGCGAGGCATTTCTTGAGCTGGCGCGGTCGAGTCGCCGAACGGGACATCAAAAACGCATCGCTGTTTCGTTACCGTCGCGCGGGGAAATCGCGAGAGTAAAACGGCTCCGCTGGCGACACAGACGTGGCAAAGTGAATTGGTTCGGCGCCACCAGACGGGCTCAAAAGCAAACCGACAACAACAACAACAACAACAACAACAACAACAACGACAACGACAACGACAGCGACAACGACAACAACAACAACAACAAACTTGTACCAACAACAACAACAACAGCAACAATCATTTCTTAAGACTGTTCGCCCTTATTTGTTCGAGTGTCCAATAACGCGTATTTACCCCACCCTCGATACCCGCCTTCTTCGACTTCGATGGAACCCCTTTTGTGGGGTATACCTTTCATAACCTTTCTTCCCTGCAGGCCGGGCCCCGGCAAGCGGCGGGGCAGCCGCGGACCGTCGGCCTGGCCAGCGGGAGCGCTGATCGGCGGGGCGGCCGCGGACCGTCGACCCGACCCCAAGAGGGACGGACAGGGGACCGACCACGACGACGACGACGACGACGACGACGACGACGACGACGACGACGACGACGACGACGACGACGACGACGACGGCGACGACGACGACGACGACGGCGACGACGGCGGCGACGACGACGACGACGAGCAAAAGCGAGAGCGAGAGAGAACGACAGCAGGGCCACGAAGGACACGAAGTAGGCCACGAAGAGCGACAGCGGGGACACGAAGGGAATGCGTATGGGGCCACGAACAGCGCGAACGAGCGGGGGCCACGAAGGGCAGATAATGCGGGGCCACAGAAGGCGACGATGGGGCCATTGAGGGTAGCAGCTGGGCCACGTAGGACAGTGAGGGGGCCACAAACGGCGACAGCGGGGCCACGAAGGGCATGCACATGGGGCCACAACGGGCGCGAACGAGCGGGGGCCACGAAAGGCATACGTATGTTGGGCCGCTGAGGGCGAGGACGGGCCACTGAGGGCAGCAACGGGGCCACGAAGGGCAGCAAAGGGGCCACGAAGGGCGACAGCGGGGCCACAAAAAGGCATGCATATGTGGCCACCACGGGCGCGAACCAGCGGGGGCCACGAAGGGTATGCATATATGGGGCCACGAAGGGCAGCGAGGGGGCCACGAAAGCCTGCAACGGGGCCACGAAGGGGAGCGAGGGGGCCACGAAGGGCTGCAACGGGGCCAAAAAGGACTGCAAGCAGGCCGCGAAGGGCAGCGAGGAGGCCACGCAGGGCTGCAACGGGGCCACGAAACAACGCGAGGGGGCCACGAAGGGCTGCAACAGGGCCACGAAGGGCAGCGAGGAGGCCACGAGGGGCTGCAACGGGGCAGCAACAATTTGAAACGTGTAGGACCTCCCAGGCAACCAGCAAAGTGAGCTGGTTCGGCGCCGCCGAACGGGCTCGCAACGCAACCCGGGCAGTCCAGGGTCAGTCTGGGGTCTGTTCGGGTTCAATCTGGGTTCAATCCAGGGGCAGTCTGGGGCCAGTCTAGGGTCACTCTGGGGCCAGTCTGGGGTCCGTCAGGGATCACTTCGGGGCCAGTCCAGGGTCAGTCTCGGGTCAGTCCAGCCCCATGAGCCATCTCGGACAGAGCTTGTGGCGGGTAGGCGACGGGTCAGCCCCAGTCATCTTGCCTACATTGCAGGGGCACTTGCCTGCGACAAGGGCCTGGGGCTGAAATGACTTCTGGCTGTCCTGAGAGCCTCCGGAGTGGCCCAAGACCGTTTCATTTTGCCCCAAGATTGTTCCGGGGCGCCGAATGGGGGCCCAAAGATGACCCGATAAGGCTCCAAGACTGTCCAAGATAGCCTCGAGACAGCCGAAGAAGCCCCCAAGACGCCCCAAGAACGATCCCAGAGGGCTCCTGGGAGAGCCCCAGGAGGCAAACATTAACGATTGTCTTTTCGTTTTGGAAGGATTTCAGGTTGATCGCCTTTTCTGGTCCACGACCGTCCAAGACGGCGTCAACGGCATTGCGCGGTGGTTCGAGACGATCCAAAAGCCCCCCAAAAGGGCCCCATGACGGTTCAAGAGGACCCCAAGACGGCAAAAGGGGGGCGCCAAGAAGGGCTCAGAGAGCCCCAAGAAGGCTCCAAAGGTCGCCATCAAGGCCCCAAGACGGCCCCAACGAGGCCCCAAGAGGGCCTTAGAGGGGCCCGAGACCCCCAACATGCCTCTGACAGCTCCCTGGAGGCCCCCAAAAGGCCGAAGAAGCTCCTAAGACAACCCAAGGGCGCTCCCAGAGGGCTCATGAGAGAGCTCCAGAGGTAGTAATTACTGATTTCCCTTTTGGTGTTTGGAGGATTTTGGGGTTGATCGCTTTTTCGGGTCCCCGACCGCCCAAGACGGCGACAGTGGGTCCTCCACGGTGGCCTTCGACGGCCAAAGAGGCCCCGAAGAGGTTCCCAAAACGGCCCAAGGGGACTCCAAGACGGTCCAGGAGGGCGCCAAGACGACTTCAGAGAACCCCCAGGAATCCTCACAGAGGTCGCCAAGAAGACCCCAAGAAGGTCCCAACGTCGCCCCAAAGGGGGCCAAAAGAAGCCCGAAACCCCAGACGTTCCGCTGACAGCTCCCGGGGAAGCTCCCAAGACGCCCCATGAGCGCTCCCAGAGGACTCCTGAAAGAGCCTCAAGAGGCAGAACTCGGTGTCCCTTATGGTTTTGAAGGATCTTATCCTGATCGCCTTTTCCTATTCTCGACCGCTCAAGACGGCCACAGGGGCGTTCCACAGTTAGCTCAGACGGCCCAGGAGGCCCCCAGGAGGGCCCCAAGACAACCCAAGAAGACCCCAAGACGGCGCAAGAGGCGGCCCTAATGAGGCCCCAATGCGTCGCGAAGACGGCCCCCAGATGGCCCCAACGAGGCCTCCAGAGCGACCAAGAGGGGCCCGTGACCCCCAACAGGTTTCTCAAGGCTCCCAGGAGGCCTTCAAGAGGACCCACCCCAAGAGGGCCCCGGGAGGGCCCCAAATGGAGCCTAGACGGCCAGAGACCCCCCAACATGGACCCCGAGACGACCCAAGCATGTCCCCAGAGAGCCAAAGAGCGAGGGACAAAGAGGAGTGCGCACTGCAGGCGTGAAAAACCAGGCTCCGAGCCAAGACGGTCCCGCCTGGCCTTCGGGGCCGCCTACAGTCGGGGCCCTGAAGAAGGAACCCTTTTCGTTGGGGAGGGGCTCCGCGTTCCTTAAGTGTTTTGCAGCTTGCCTCAGGTTTTCCTTGGGTTTTCGATATGAAATCGAAGTTAAACTTATGGAAAAAAGGGGCCTCGTTCCTTATTTTGGGTTCCTGAGGTCAAGGCCCCGACTGTACTTTCACATGCCGCCCCCGCGTTCGTTCTCATCCTCCAGGCAGCGGCGAGCGTCGACCCAGAGGTTGTTTGCACACGACGCCCGTCGCCGCCGGCCGTTCTCTCGCGCTTATCAGCGAGATGTGGAGAGCGAGCATGGGGCCCAGCCTTCTCGAATGCGCCTGGCGTCACCGCCTATTCGCCCCGGAAGTGTGCGTAGGATCCACGGGTCAGCCCTAGTCAGCTGGGATCAGCTACAGTGCTGGGATCAGCGCGTGCGAGAAGGGCGAGCAGTGGCAGCGAGCGCTGGCGCTGCTGAGCGAGATGCGGGAGGCGAAGCTGGAGCCCGACGTCATCTGTACCACGTGCGCAAAGGGCGAGCGCTGCGAGCGCGCCTCGAAGAGTCCGCGGGTCCCCCGGTGTCCCCAAGCCTGCCCCAGACGGCCCCGGGACAGCTCACACGATCTCAAGAGGGCGGCAGAACGGCCCAAGAGGATCCGAAACGAGCCCCACGGCAGCCCCAAGCGACCCGACGACGGGCGAAGAGGCTCCACAGGCTGCCCACGAGGGCCCCATTTTGTCCCCACGGGGCCGGCGATCAACCGACAACCTCAAGCTTGTCCAGAGATTTCACCTTCTCCCCATGACGTGCCCAGAACGGCCCCCCACGCGCGGCTCCAGGTCTTCCAACGGTCGCCACGTGCCAGGCTCGAAGAAGGCCCAAGACAGGTCCTAACAGAGCTTCAAACGGCCACCCAAGACAGCCCCAAGAGGACCCCAAGAGCTGCCCAGGAGGGCCCAAAGCGGGCTCCCAGGCTGCCCCAGACCCACAACATGGCTCCAAGACGGCCAACACGTCCCCGAGACGGTCCAAAGTTCCCAACCGATTCCGACAGTTGCGAGACTCCCCAACAGCCGAGGGTAACGCAATTGTGAGCATCGTCTTCGGTGGAGCTCGGGCCACGAAGCGTGCGACGGGCGTGCCGAGACGGGTGGGGTGACGCATGGAAGCTTTGCCGCTGGGGACTGCGATGGAGCGCCCTATGGGGCCACGAAACGCGGGAGAGGTGTGCCGAACTGGGTGGGGGGACGCACGTGAGCGTTGCCGCTGGGGCTTTCGGCGGAGCTCCCTGTGGGGCCACGAAGCGCGGGAGAGGTGTGCCGAACTGGGTGGGGGGGGCGGCATGTGAGTACGCTGCCATTGAGGCATTCGGTGAAGCTCCTCATGGGACCACGAAGCGTGTAAGGGATGTGCCGGGATGGGCGGGGGGACGCATGTGAGCACTGCCGCTGGGGCCGTTTGTGTAGCTCCTTGTGGGGCCACAAAGCGTGTGATGGGTGTTCCGAAGTGTGTGTGTGTGTGTGTTGTGTGTGTGTGCGCGTGTGTGCGCGTGTGTTCGTGTGTGTTCGTGTGTGTGTGTCTTTGTGTGTGTTTGTGTGTTAGTGTGTATTTATGTGTGTGTGTGTTTGTGGTTGTGTTTGTGTTTGTGTTTTTATGTGTGCTTGTGTTTGTGTTTGTGGTTGTGGTTGTGGTGGTGGTTGTGGTTGTGGTTGTGTTTGTGTGTGTTTGTGTTTGTGTTGTTGCTTGTGCTTGTGCTTGTGCTTGTGCTTGTGCTTGTGCCTGTGCCTGTGCCTGTGCCTGTGCTTGTGCTTGTGCTTGTGCTTGCGCTTGTGCGTGTGCTTGCGCTTGTGCTTGTGCTTGTGCTTGTATTTGTGCTTGTGCTTGTGCTTGTGCTTGTGCTTGTGCTTGTGTGTGTTTGTGTTTGTGTGTGTGTGCGGCAGGGGGTCCATGTAGCCATTGCCACAGGGGCCTTCAGTGGATCTTCCGATGGAGCAACGAAACGCGTGCGGGGTGTCCCGCAGTTGTGAGGGGGGGATGCGTGGCCGCTGCCACTGGGGCCTTCGGTAGAGTGTACCATGGGGCCACGACGCGCTTGAGGGGTGTTCTGAAAGGGAGGTGGGCACATATGGCCACTGCCACAGGGGTCTTCGGTGGGGCACCCTATGGCCTTGTGGGGCCACGAAGCGTGTGAGGGGTGTGCCGAAAGGGGCTTACGGGACGCATGTGGCCACTGCCATTGGGGCCTTAGGTGGAGCTCCCTATGGGGCCCCTGTGCGGAGTCCACACTATCGCGGGCAGATTCCGCGGCCGGAAGGCCGCAGGTCAGCCTTAGTTTCTCCTGCAATGCCGGGAACGCTGCGTGCGAGAAGGGTTTCTGGATCAATGAGGTGGCCGATGTCCGCGAGCCGCTCGCGACGGCGCCCCAGACGCTCAAGAGGACGCCCCGACGGGCTCAAGACGGCTCCGAGACGCTCAAGAGACCGCCCCGACGGCCCCAAGACGGCTCCGACCCGCTCAACAGGAGGTTCCCAAGACGGCCTTGGAGGACTTTCCAGGAGAGCCCCAAGAGGCACAAATCACCGCAATCCTTTCGGAAGACATACGTTTTGGGCACTGTTGTGCTTCTCGTCTCCGACGCATCCGCGACGGCCAGACCGGCCCCCAAGATCGCCCCAAGATGCCCCCGTGAGGGCCCCAAGACGATCCAAGACGGCCCCAGGACGGTCCAAGAGGCGCCCAAGACGACCCAAGAGGCACCCAAGACAGCCCAAGACCCGCCCAAGACGGCCCAAGACGGCCCCAAGACGGCCCAAGAGGCGAGGACCAAGACAAGACGGCCCAAGACGGCCTCAAGACGGCCCTAAAGGCACACAAGACGGCGCAAGAGGGCCACAAGAGGCTCCCAGGGAGCCGAAAAGGATCCCCAAGGAGTCCCCAAAGCGGCCCCCAAGAGGCCCCAAGTGGCTTCACCGTTGTCTCCACGAGAGGGGGGGCGGACGAGGGGCGAGAGGCACATCGCAGGCCCCAACAACCGGCCCCCCATGACGCCCTGAGTGGCTTCGAACTTGCCTGCGTGAGAGCGTGCGGTCGAGAGGCGAGGCGCAGATCGCAGGCGCAGAAGAGCCGCTTTGGACGCTCCGAAGGCCTCGGATGTTCGCCTTCTGGGGAGCCTCGTGAGAAGCGTCCACGATTGGCGATCGGAGATCAAGCAGATGAAGGATCCAGAGACAGAGGAGGAGGAGGAGGAGGAGGAGGAGGAGGAGGAGGAGGAGGAGGAGGAGGAGGACGAGGACGAGGAGGACGCGGAGGAGAAGGAGGAGGAGGAGGGGGAGGAGGGGGAGAATGAGGAGGACGAGAGGGAGGCCCCAGAAAACCCCGAAGAGAGCCCCACCAGGGTCTAGATGACGTGCGACCCTCTGAATGAAGAGCGAACGGTGAGGCGCTCAAAGCTCTGAACGCCGAGGCTCCCAAGACTTCAAGAGCGAACCGTGACGCACCCAAAGCTCTGAACGCCGAGGCTCCCAATCGCGAGCAGTGGCGAAAAAGAGCGCTTACCTCCAGCAGCCAGCAAGGAAGCACATGTCAAACAAGCAGCACTGGCAGGAAACCAAACTAGGAAGCTCATCGAGGCCCACCGCTGCTCCGCGCTCCGTTCTGGCGTCGGTAGTTTCCGTCACATGCACGTGCCGGCCCTCAAGGCCACGACGCCTGCTCTCAATGCGCTACGTCGAGGCAGGCGATGGAGGAACAGGAGGAGGAGGAGGAGGAGGAGGAGGAGGAGGGCGACGTCGACGGCGATAACAGCGATGACGACGATTACGACAACGACGACAACAACGACGACGATGACGACGACGACGACGACGGTGGCGGCGACGACGACGAACGATCATATCAACGACGACGCCAAGTCAGCGTGCCACCGCGGATCCCGAGCCAAAGCGTCACGCAGTGTCAATATGGAGCGGGGCAGCCCCGGATAATTTCTGAACGTTTGAACTGGGGGGGCGGTTTGTTCAGAAATTGTCCTGGCCCATTTGAACCAAACACACAATCGCACCAACACGCACACACACGCGCACACACATTACACACGCACATGTCGTGGGCGGAGTCCACGGGTCAGCCCTAGTCTCTACTATAATGCAGCATTCACCGCTAGCCAACTGGGCGAGCAGTGGCCGTGGACCGGCCCCCTCCGGCGGCCACCGGCGCTGCCCCGGAGCCCCGGCGCGTTTCCAAGATGGCTTCAGAGCGCTCCGAGCCGCCCCCGGAGGCCCCCAAGAGGGCCCGAAGACAGTCCCAGAGGGCCTCCGAGACGGGCCCCGAGAGTTCGACGACGCCCAAGATAGCCTCCAGACGGCCTAAGAGCATTTTGGGGGCTCCAGAGATCCAGAAAGAACCCCCAGAGAGCCCGAAGAGGGAAAAATCGTCCCAATCCCCAGGGGAAAACGTACATTTCGGGAGTTCCCGTGCTTTTCGTGTTCGAAGCGTCCAAGGCGGCCACGCAGGCCCTCAAGATCGTCCCAAGACGCCTCAGGAGGCTGCCAGCAGGGCCTCAAGACAGGTGAAGACTGCGCCGGGACGGCTCCTGAGCGGCCCCAGGGACCCCGGCGCGCTCCCAAGACGGCTTCAGAGCGCTCCGAGCCGCCCCAGGACGCCTCCCTCACATTCCGCGGCTTTGTTTTTTACAAAGCGGCGGTTCTTGCATTGTTTTTTCCCAGAAGATGGAAAAAACACCATACATTTGCGATGTTTTGTTTTTTGGTTGTTAGGCGCGCAAGGCGCTGTCGGGTTTATGAGCCTCTTCGGCCGTCTTCGGGCCTTCTTGAGGCCTTCAAGAGGGCCCGAAGGCGGCCTGAGGCGGCCTCCGAGACGGGCCCCGAGAGCTCGAGGGCGCCCTTAGGGCTCCAGAGAGAGCCTGAGGAGAGCCCGAGCGAGGAAGGACCGCCCCAGTTCCCAGACCCCCTCGAGTCATGAAAAAATCACGACGGGAGGTTTTTCATTATTTCTAGACTCTGGGGGCCCTCACCGGCCCTCGGGACCGTCAAAAAACCACTCAGGACGAAAAACCGGTCCCAGGGAATTGGTCCAGACCGCTGGGGGTCGGTGTCATGAAAAATTCATGACGTCGGGGGTCTGGGTTCCTGGGGGAAACGTACCTTTCGGGAGTTCCCGTGCTTGCGTGTTCGAAGCGTCCGAGACGGCCACACAGGCCCTCAAGGTCGTCCCAAGACGCCTCAGGAGGCTGCCAGGAAGGCCCCAAGACGGGTGAAGACTGCGCCGGGACGGCTCCTCAGGCGCCCATGGCGGCCCCAAGAGGGGGCCAGGACAGGTTGGGAGCGCTCCCGAGGGGCCCAAGAGGGGGCCAGGAGGGCCACAAGAGGGCCCCGACCAAGGCTACATGACGCATGCACTTGGGTTCCCCTCTCGCAGGCCCCAAGGAGCTCATCAATGCACAGGCGGCTTGGGGCCCTCTTGGGGCCCCCGGGGGACGCGCTTGCGGCCCTCTTGGGGCCTGCGGGCCCCTCCAAGACAGGGCTGGGTGCATTCTGCCACAGAAAGGCCTCTCGTGGCAGATTGGGGGCTTCTTGGTCTCTTGGGGCCTCTTGGATTCTCGTGCATTCTGCCACAGAAAGGCCTCTTGGGGCCTTCGGGCCCCTCCAAGACAGGGCTGGGTGCACCCTGCCACAGACAGGCCTCTCGTGGCAGATTGGTGGCCCCGCGCCCGGCGGCGCCCTGGGGCTCTCTTGGGGCCCTCTGGGAGGAGGAGGAGGAGGAGGAGGAGGAGGAGGAGGAGGAGGAGGAGGAGGAGAGGAGGACGACGAGCAGGAGGGAGGAGGAGGAGGAGGAGGAGGAGGAGGAGGGAGGAGGAGGAGGAGGAGGAGGAGGAGGAGGAGGACGAGGAGGAGGAGGAGGAGGAGGAGGAGGAGGAGGAGGGAGGAGGGAGGAGGGAGGAGGGAGGAGGGAGGAGGGAGGAGGGAGGAGGGAGGAGGAGGAGGAGGGCCCTCTTCGTTCCCTCTTCGTTCCCTCTGGGGCCCTCTTCGTTCCCTCTTGGGGCCCTCTGGGGGCCCTCTTCGTTCCCTCTGGCATTAAGTCGGGCCTTTCCCCCTACAGTGGGATTTTCGACGAAAACATCAAGATACCGCAAAAATAGTCAAAACATGGTCCAAAAACAGTCTGGGGACTATTTATTGGAGTATTTGTTTGGCCTTTTTGGGGCATTTTGGGGGTATTGTTTTATTTGTTCGTCGAAAATCTCCCTGTAGGGGGACAGGCCCGACATAACTCTGGCACGACGGCCCCAAGACGGTCCCGACACAGCTCCTGAGGCGCCCAGGACGGCCCCAACCGCGCGGTCGCGCGGCCCGCGGCCCGCGGCGAAGACCTCACCATGGACGAGACGACTTTCGTCGGCGCGAGGCCGCCGCCAAAAGGCCGCGCTGCCGTGCGGCCCGCGGCCCCGGCGAGGACCTCGCCCATGGCTCGGCAGCCCCCGCCGTCAGCGGCAGCAGGCACGGGTACAACAGTACAGTCGGGGCGTTGAAGAAGAAACCCTTTTCGTTGGGGAGGGGCTCGGTTTTCTTTGATTGCTGTACAGTTTGCCTTGGGTTTTCTTTTCGTCTTCCATGGGACATTAAAATTTAACTTATGGGAGCAAGGGGCCTCGTTCCTTATTTAGGGTTCCTTAGGTCAACGCCCCGACTGTAGTCTCTTCTCTATGGCGATCACATCCGTGTGCGAGAGGGGTGGGGGGCTCAAGTGGGTGGAACCGCCCCTTTTCGGCCCCACCACGGGGTCGAAGCGCTTGTGACGGCCCAAGAGGAGACCCAGAGGGTTGCGAGACGGCCCAAGAGCGCTCCAAGACGGCCCAAGTTGGTCCCGAGACGGGCCTCGACGCCCCAAAGACTTCCGAAGGTGGCCCCACGGCGGTCCGAGTCAGCTACAGCGCTGGGCTCAGCGCGTGCGAGAAGGGCGAGCAGTGGCAGCGGGCTCTGGCGCTGCTCCGCGACATGCGGGAGGCGAAGCTGGAGCCCAGCGTCATCCGTGCTACAACTCCTGGCGTCGCGCGCGCGAGAGGGGCGGGCGCTGCGAGATTCAGGAGGGAAAGAACCACACAGACACCATTCATCGTCCCCTCCCAGGAAAACGCTGGAACATATGGGAAGTGGGGGGAAGACAAACACCCAGAAAGCATGGGAAATTACTCCGACGGTCGGACCCCACATGAGAATCTGTTTTGCTTACCCTTTGCCCTTTCCTCTTCCCCCTGGCGGACACCCTCTCCTCTCGCCCTCTGCACTGGCCTCTCTTCCTCATTCTATTCCTCTTCCTACTTCTCCTCCTCCTCCTCCTCCTCCTTCTCCTCCTCTCGCGCCACCTCCTCCTCGTCGTCGCCCTCCCCCATGCCCCTTCCCTCCTCATCCTCCTGCCTCTTTTCCATGTGCACCTCCCGTTCCCCCTGGTCGTGGCAAGCAACTCGATTTTCCTCGGCGCCGTCGCCGCGTCGGCCAGCACGCGCGCGTTTGCCGACGGCTAGATGGCGAAGCCGTCGGGACAACCCTTCGGGCCAGGCCGTTGGGGCAACCTCGCCGGCCGCAGGGGCGCGGGAGCCAGCCGTTGGGACAACCCTGCGGGCCTCTAGGTGCGCGCCGCGGCGCTCAAGCGGGCGGCAGCACGAAGCCCAGCTCTGCCGCGAGCTGCTCCGCCTCAGCCCTGGAATCCACCGCTCTCTTGTCGAACTCCTGGAGCGCCTTCCGCAGTGACGCCGGCGGCCCGCGCTCCAAGAACTCTCGCGCGGGCGGCCGCAGGATCAGCATGTTCCGCATGCACGTGGCGCGGGAGAACATGACGTAGAGGTGCAGCCGCCACATCTCGTCCGACATGCCCGTGCGGCCAGCGTCCTCATCCCTGGCGCAGTCGATGGTGACGCCCTTGCGCAGCGTCTGGCCCTGCGACAGCGTGTAGGTCAGGTAGGACGCATGCGTCAGGGTGAACGCCGAGCGGCGCACAGTGTGCGCCCCCGAGCTTTGCCACGTGAGCTCCTGTTCGCTGGGCCTGAACATGAGCAAGCTCCTCGCCCGCGCTTCGGCTTCGCCGTTGTCGGCAGCGCCACCGGCGCCCTGCAGCAGCACCTCGGCGACCTCCTTGTAGATCGGGGACTCCTGGAAGCCGTGCACATGCAGCCAGATTCCCTGCGGTAGGAAGCGGGGGCGGAAGAGCTGGCCCGGCGCGCACTCCTCGTAGTCCCGCTCGTCGTCTGCGTGAAACTCGAAGGACACGATGGTGGCCCGTTGCTCCTGCACGAGCCCCAGCTTCTTCTTCAGCTCCTCCTGCGCGGCCGTGAACCGGACCTCCATGCCGACGTGTGCCGGTAGGACGCCGTGGATGTCTCCCGTCTTGTGCATGTTCGGGACGTTCAGGAGGCGCCGGCCTGCGTCTGGGTCGCCTTGAATCGTGCCGCACTCGTCTACGGCCTGCAGGAAAACGAGGGGGACGCCGAGGCGCCGCGCGTCGCGACGAGCGCGCGTGTTGATCCACCTCGCCAGCGTCTCCCAATGGACGCCCATGCCGTAGCCGAGCCGGAAATTCTCGTGCTGGTGCCGTGGGTCCAGGACGCCGTGGTTGTCCGAGGCCAACGTCTTCTCCCAGGCAGACCAGACCTCTGGTGGGAAGCGCTTGCCCTCGCGCGTGCAGCCCAAGAACGCGATCAGAGGGTCCCCCGGCTCGAAGCGTTTTGTGCCCTTCAGCTCGAAGACGCAGGGGATCTGAGAGAAGACCCTGATGGCGTGCTGGATCTCCACCGTCGGCGGCTCCGCGTACTTGTACGACCATTCTCCGTCGTCCAGGCGCTCGTTCACGTCCGTCAGGAGCCCGATGCTGCCGGTGGGCTTCAGCTGCAGGAAATCGCCGAGGCGCAGCACGATGGGGACGCGTCCGAAGTGGTGGTGCGGCCGCTTGTAGGTGGACTCCTGCACGTCGTGCGTGTCACTGCGTCCATGGCAGGCGCGAAGATCCAGCGCGTTGTGCAGAGCTGCCGCCACCATGTTGACCTCCTCGATGACCAGAACGCGGACGTGCGGTATTCAGGCCGCAGGAGCGAGTTCTAAAATCCGTCCTCAGACCTCCAAGTGACGACAGGAGACGGTCCTCTGACGGGCTTACCCGCACCGCCCACAGACAAAGTTCCCCCTTGACACTTCCCCCGTGTCCAGGCCGCAGGAGCTGAGGAGCCCAAAAAGCTCGCTCGGATGACCCGCTCGGGTTCGAACATGAAGTGCGTGCCCCATAGGGAGGGGGCTCCCGCTTGAGACTTCCTCGCAATTCACTCACAGACGAGGCTCCCGCTCGAGACTTCCTTCATATTCAAGCCTCAAGAGCCCAAAAGTGACGACAGTTACAGGGTTCCGATGACCCGCTCGGATTAGTTACATGATCGGCGGGCCCCATAAGGAGGGCGCTCCAGCTTGAGACGTCCTCGCAATTCACTCAGAGACGGGGCTCCCGCCTGATACTTCCTCCATATTCAGGCCTCCAGAGCCCAAAAGTGACGACATTTACAAGATTCCGATGACCCGCTCGGATTAGTAACATGATCTGCGAGCCCCATAGGGAGGGGGATCCCGCTTGAGACTTCCTCGCAAGTCACTCACAGACGAGGCTCCCGCCTGACACTTCCTGCATACTCAAGCCTCAGAGGCCCCAAAGTGACACCAGTTACAGGGTTCCGATGACCCGCTCGGATTAGTAACATGATCTGCGAGCCCCATAGGGAGGGGGTTCCCGCCTGAGACTTCCTCGCAATTCACTCAGAGATGAGGCTCCCGCTCGAGACTTCCTGCGTATTCAGGCCTCAAGAGCCCAAAAGTGATGACAGTTACACGGTTCCGATGACCCGCTCGGATTAGTAACATGATCTGCGGGCCCCATAAGGAGGGGGCTCCAGCCTGAGATTTCCTCGCAATTCACTCAGAGACGAGGCTCCCGCCTGATACTTCCTCCATATTCAGGCCTCAAGAGCCCAAAAGTGATGACAATTACAAGGTTCCGATGACCCGCTCGGATTAGTAACATGATCTGCGGGCCCCATAGGGAGGGGGCTCCCGTCTGAGACGTCCCCGCAATTCAGTCACAGACGAGGCTCCCGCCTGATACTTCCTGCGTATTCAAGCCCCAGAGGCCCAAAAGTGACGACAATTACAGGGTTCCGATGACCCGCTCGGATTAGTAACTGATCTGCGGGCCCTATAGGGAGGGGGCTCCCGCCTGAGACTTCCTCGCAAGTCACTCAGAGGCTCCCGCTTGATGACGAAATGATGAGTGAGATGATGATGATGGCCACTGAGTGGGTGATCGACAAATTATGATGGAGATGGTGACGATGGTGTTGAGAGTGGCGGCGGTCCTACCGTCGGAGGACCACTGCCTCCGAAGCCTAGTGAGGATGAGTGAGTAATTGAATGAGTGAGTGGATGATCGAGTGGTGATGATGGTGACGATGATGATGAGGATGATGATGATGACTAGTGATGACGGTGATGGTGGTTGATGGTGATGATGATGGTAATGATGATGAGTGTGTGCGTGTGATAACGATGATGGTGGTTGATGGTGGTTGATGGTGATGATGATGGCGATGATGGTGAGTGGGAGAGAGAGAGAGAGAGAGAGAGAGAGGAAAGGGGGTGTGTGAGATCCTGCGCGGCGTGTGCAGAGAAAACAAGAACTCCACTTTGGATGTGGGGAAATATGGGGGATCCTTTTGTTCGTGTGCATCTATGTGTGTCCCAGGGCCCCTTCAGGGCTCCTCGCGCGCCTCGGGCGCCGGCGGGTCCCCCGAGGGCCCCACCCCCCCCGAGGGCCCCCTAGCCAGCCTCAGACGGCCCCGGGACAGCTCGGTTGCTCTCAAGAGGTCGGGCCGGGCGACAGGGGGGGGAGGATTGGGAAAGGGGGGGCTACGAAATTTGCTGCCTGCAGCTGGTTTCGGCCTCACCGAGGGGCCCGTTCCTCGATGCGTAGCCGCCTTTGCTATCCCCCCCTCTCGCCCGACCCGACAGAGGTCGGCAGGACGGTCCAGGAGGACCCGAAGCGAGCCCCATGGCGGCCCAAGAGGGCCCGAACAGCTGCCAGGAGGCTCCACAGACGAGACGGCCCACGAGGACCCCGATGACGGGCCCCACGAGGCCAAACATCAAGCAGTAGCATAATGGTTTCCAATGTTGATCACGTTCTCCCCATGTCGGGCCCAGAACGGCCCCTCACGGATCGAGTCCTCCCACGATCGCCCCAAGACAGCCCAGGAGGCGCCGAAGAGCGCACCAACGCGGCCCAAGAGGGCCCGAAGACGGCCCAAGGCAGGCCCCAGACGGCCTAGCAGAACCTCCAGTGTCCCCCCAAGACAGCCCCAAGAGGGCCCCAGGGGCTGTTCAAGAGGCCCAAAGCGGGCTCCCAGGCTGCCCCAGACATGGCCCCAAGAAGCTTCCGAGACGCCCAGGAGGACCCCTAACTGGCCAAGCTGGCCCCGAGAGCTTTCAAGAAGGACCGCTCCGAGATGCTCTACAGCTTCCCATCATGTTCCGACAGTTGCCAAGGAGCTCCCACGAGAGCCCCCAGCCCCAGCACCTTTCGCCGTTCCTGGATTCTCAGAAGCCTCCAGGAGAACCCCAGACCCCACAAAGGCCCCAGACCATTCCTAGATGCTGCGCGGCCCCTCCAGAGACTCCGGCAGTTGTCAAAGAGTTCCTCAGAGAGCATCAAGCCCAGCATTTTTGCTTTGCCATTCTTAGATCCCCCAAAGCCCAACAGAAAACCCCGAACCTCAAACAACGCTCCAGAATGCCTGTCGCCCTGTTCTCTTCTCTTCTCTCCTCTGTGTTTTTTGTTTGTTACTTCCTCCTCCTCCTCCTCCTCGCAATCGGGCTTGTGTTACATACTTATAAATTAAGCAGATGTTAGGTGTTATTTTTCATGTCAAGAGCTAGAACAACGAGGACCAGAGTCTCACGGGCCATGGGAAAGTGTCGCCAGAGGCACCCGAGGTGTCGCCATCCCCCGTGCTGGAACAAGCTCGGAAAGAGGGGGGGAACAGAAGAAGAGGTTCAACAGTGGGGCGAACAACCGTGTGCCTCAGACCATCGCCTGAAGGGGGCTCCGCATGCGTGGCAGCCCTGCGCCTTCCCGGGCCATCCAGTCGTGCACCACGTACTGCGCAGAGTGCGGGGGCAGGGGAAGAGGGGCGCACAGAGGAGAGAAGGGAGAAAACTTGGTCATGCAGCACACCCGTGGATCTTGATTGAGGTCCGGGTCGAACTCCCGAGCACGTCGGAGAATCATTGAGTTGCACGGCCGCAAACATCACACATCTTGAGACACAGCACATCAAAGTGGATCGTGTTTGAGTCCAGTTTGAGTCCCGTCCTCGCTGTGGTTGGCTTCGTTGTCAGGCGTCGGGACAGCCCTCTTGAAGGGCAGCGGACTGCCTCGCCTCCGTTGTTGTTGCTGTTTCTCGCTTTTCTCCTTTTGAAGCGTCTTTATTCCCTTGCCCTCCCTTCCCTTGCTCGTCGTCGTCGTCCTCCTCCTCCTCCTCCTCTTCCTCCTCCTCCTCGTCATTACCCAGTTGTTATAGTTGATAGCTCCGTCTTGTCGCACCCCGAGACGTGTCGACAGGGAGGGGCGTGTGCTTCGCCTGAGATTTCTTCACAAGTTCTGATCCTACTTTTCAAACTTTGCAGCAGCTTCGCGGATGGAGCGGCGGTTTTGAAAATGTTGTTACTGCCTTCGCGCCGCGCACATTCGTTTTAACAGTTCGCAAAGAGCTTCGCGGATAGAGGGCGGGCCGTTTCCCACACGTGGTCTTCGCCTTAGCGCCACGCACATTCGATTTAAAAGTATACGAGAGCTCCACAGATGGAGGGCGACCGGTGTTCATAGCGCGATTCTTGTGTTAGCGCCGCGCGCACCCGTTTTCAACCTCTGCAGTCTCATGGATGGAGGGCGGCTCCTCTGAGAGAGCGCGCCCGTGGCACCCTCCCAAAAGGGGGGGTCCCCCGTTGGCTACCCCCCTCCCCCTTGGACCCGCCCTGCCGGATCCCCCCTTTCTTTTTTTCCCAATTATCCTGTGGTGTCGGGTCCTCGTTTTGAAGGGAGGGTGCCCCGCGTTCTCCGCTTCTCCTTGTCGCCCTCCTCCTCACCCTCTTTCTCTTCCCTGCATTTCACCCACGCGGTGCAGCGCTTCGTGGCCCCATAGGGAGCTCCACCGAAGCTCTCAGTGGGACCGCCCGCATGCGTCCCACACACCCTATTTGGAATTTGCACCCACCCAGTACAGCGTTTCGTGGCCCACAGGGAGCTCCACCGAAGCTCCTAGTGGGACCGCCCGCATGCGTCCCACACATTCAATTTGGCATTTTCACCCACCCAGTGCAGCGCTTCTTGACCTCATAGGGGACTCCACCGACGGGTCCAGTGCTACCGCCCTCATGCGCCCCCCCCCTCCCCACCTAGCGCTTCGTGGCTCCATAGGGAGGTCCACCGACAGTCCCAGCGCTACCGCCCGCATGCGCTGCGTCCCCCCAACCCAGTGCAGCGCTTCGTGGCCCCATAGGGAGCTGCACCGACGGCCCCAATGCTGCGGCCCGCATGCGTCCCCCCACCCAGTACAGCGCTTCGTGGCCCCATGGGGAGCTCCACCGACGGCCCCAGCGCTACTGTAGGGAACTCCACCGAAGGTCCCAGTGTTACCGCCCGCATGCGTCCCCCACAGCCAGTGCAGCGCTTCGTGGCCCCATAGGGAGCTGCACCGACGACTCCAATGCTGCGGCCCGCATGCGTCTCCCCCACCCAGTACAGCGCCTCGTGGCCCCATAGGGAGTTCCACCGACGGCCCCAGCGCTACTGTAGGGAGCTCCACCCGCCCGCATGCGTCCCCCACACCCAGTGCAGCGCTTCGTGGCCCCATAGGGGGCTCCACCGACGGCCCCAGTGCTACCGCCCGCATGCGTCTCCCCCCACCTAGCGCTTCGTGGCTGCATAGGGAGGTCCACCGAGGGTCCCAGCGCTACCGCCCGCATGCGTCCCCCCACCCAGTACAGCGCTTCGTGAGGTCCGCCGCACGCCCTGGTGCTACCGCCCGCATGCGTCCCCCCACCCAGTACTGCGCTTCGTGGCCCCATGGGGGGCTCCACCGACGGCTCCAGTGCTACCGCCCGCATGCGTTCCCTCCACCCAGTGCAGCGCTTCGTTGCCCCATGCAGAGCTTCACCGAAAAAGATAGTCACAATTGCGGTACCCACAACTGCATATGGTTGGGTCTTTCGCCAGGAAAATGTTGTTTTCCGCCCCTCGGAAACTACCTCGCCCCGCTTCCGTTTCGCGCTCCAGAAACTACCCCTCTCCTTGCCCAAAAGGAGGGGGGGGTTTAGCTACCCCCCCGTGAACCTCCCCGCCGGAAGCCCCCCCTCGCTTGTTTTTACCCGCCCGTCGGAAATTAGCTCCCCCCACCCCATCCTTTCGCATTCTGGAATCAACTCTTATGATGTCCCAACCTACTTTAGCTTTGATCACCAGAAAGAATTTCGAGCGCCCAAAGAAGTGCCGAAACTCGAGGGTTTTCACGTGTCGGGCCCTAGGAGACACTCGCCCGACACTGTTTCGACCCTGTTTCGACACTCTTTTGGCACTTTTCCGGGTGCTCGAAATTATTTCTGGGATGTTGTCCTTAGGTAGGATGGGAACAGCATAAAACTACTCCCCCCTTTCCTTTTCCAAAGGGGGGGCTTAGCTCCCTCCCTGCCAGACCCCCCCCCTCCTCCCCTTTCGGGTGGGAGTTTGGACCCCCCGAGACCGCTAGCAGGGCCCCAACAGGCTTCCAAGGTGCCTCAGGAACGCCCGAGGCCCCCCCCCAGAAGCATCAAGAGGCCCCCATGGAAGCTCCAAATATGATACGAGACCTACGAGATGCCTTCCAAGAGACCAGACAACTTTTCAAATAGCCTTCCAAGAGCGCCCCCCAAAGGCATCAAAAGAAACTCCCAGCATGGTTTTGCCAAGCTCTTTTAATGCTCCTCGGGCATGTCCCCATCACTGATGGGGGGATGCCCGAGGAGGACCCAGGGCAGCCTGATGATCAGGCTGCCCTGGGTCCTCCTCGTGGCTGCCAAGAGCGCCTTCCTGGAGCCTTCCTGGGTGCTTGCGAGAGCAAGCGCTGGGAAATTTACAACTTTCGGTCTCTTTCGCAGTCCCACTACGCTGCTTCTCACCCGTCGTCTCGTGGCCAACATAGAAAACATATAGCTTGTCCCGGCCGCGTGGCGCAAGGACCAGGGGCAACCTGTGACAGCTATTGCCCGGCAGCCTGGGGGAAAATTCGATTTTTTTACCCCGTGAGAAATCTTTGTGGCAATCTAAAGGGTCGCCAGCCGGGGCCAGCCGACCGGCCAGAGGATAGATTGCGAGAGGGATGAGGAGGAGCAGGAAGAGGAGGAAGAGGAGGAAGAGGAGGAGGAGGAGGAGGAGGAGGAGGAGGGGGACGAGCAGAAGAGCGAGGTGGTGCGCCAGCGCCATATGGATGCTTACCAACGGCGCAATCGGAGCATCCACCACTTATTTTGCACACGTTATCCCTGGGATACCTGAGGTTCCGGAACTTTTGGGTTCGTACGGCCTCTTGCGTTGGATCCGCATTGTATTGCATTATCTTTCACATTGTTGTTTTCAAAAGGATGTGTACAGGCATGGTTCCGCAAGCGGCATTTCGCTGGCGAGCATTGTTTTGCTTTGCATTCAGTGGTATTTCATCGCATTGCCTTGCCTTTCATTTGCTTTGCTTCTCGCTGCATGGCGCTCGCATCTGGACTCCATGGCACTGCGTTGCATTGCAGTGCAAATGTGGGCACTCCATTTTGAACATTGCTTTCACTGCTAGGCATTGGTTCGCATTGCCCTGTATGGATGTGCCATTCTGTGTGATCGATCTCTGTTCGTCCCGCGCTTTTGTTATAGCTTCTTCTGCGTGCCCAATATTCATGCCACTTGTGGGCAACTAGTTCAGAGGACCTGTGAGCCTGTCACGGCCCAGGGCTTGCCAGAACCTGAGCGCGCGCGCAGCGCGCGTGGCTCTGGTCCCGGAAGTGGGCGCGGCTCTCCTGCTGCGATGCTGGGCCTCGGGGGCCGGCGCGGCCCAGCGAGGGGGGGGCTGAAGATTGCCACCCGTGCCGCCGGCGTGCTGACCGGCGTCCAGACACCAGGACGGCTGCTGCAGGCGCTCGTCGTCGTCGTCGTCGTCGTCGTCGTCGTCGTCGTCGTCGTCGTCGTCCTCCTCCTCCTGCGCGCTGCCTGCTGCTCCGCGTTCTCGCACGTGGGCCCTCTGGCGAACACTTTGGCCACCTTTCGTTGCGGTTCGATTCCTTCGAGCTCCAGTCTGTGCATCTCCCACGTCCGGCAGATCTCCGAGAGTCACCTAGCGCCCCAGCCAGGAAACCCAACGCCTCAAGACGGCGAAGGATAGCCCAAGAGGTCCCAGACATGCCTTCGCAAATCCTGGCAGAAGCGTCAGCGCCAGTAGCAGCATCCAACAGCAACAGCAATCAACAACAGCAGCAGTCAGCAAGCAGAAAGCAGCAAGCAGCCTTCTCGCGTCTGGGCCCTCCGGCGACGAACACTGGGCCACACTTCGTTGCGATTCGTTTCCTTCGCACCCCGCCGCTATGTTGATAGCCTTTCGGAAGCATGCCCGCCGCTCCCCAGATAATCGCTTCAGAAAGATGTCGTGCACGGAATCCACGGCTTTGCCCTAGTCAGCTACAACGCTGCGCTCAGCGCGTGCGAGAAGGGCAAGCAGTGGTGGCGGGCTCTGGCGCTGCTCAGCGAAACTTGGGAAGCGAAGCTGGAGCCCGACGTCATCTGCACTGCACTTCTGTGTGTTGCGCGTGCGAAAAGGAGGCCAGAAGGCAGCGAGATGCCCCCCGAGCGCCCAGCCGCTCTCGGACGGCTCCAGAGAGCCCCCAGGTGGCTCCAAGACGGCATCAGGCAGCCCCACTACCGCTCCGAGACTCTCGGGATGGCGGGAGGACGTCCCAAGAGAACCCGAACAAAACCCTTATGACAGCCCAATGCGGCCCGACGACGGGCCAAATGCCTCCGAAGACGGCCCAACCAGACCCCGATGACGGTTCCCCGAGTCCAAAAGTTGTAGATTTCGTTATGTTCTTGAAGTTGTTTCGTGTTCTCGCCGCTTCAGCCCTAGAACGGCCCCGTACGAGGCCTACATTAGCCCCAGACGGCTCCAGGGCTATCCCAGATCGGCCCAAGAGACGCTCCAGGAGGCCCCGCCAAGTGCCCCAGGGACGGCCCCAGGGGGCCCGAAGGTTGCCCCAGAGAAGCCCAAGGCGGCCTCATGCAGCTCCCGGTGGACCCCAAGATAGCCCCAAGGGGGCCCCAGAAGCTGCCCGACAGGCACCACAGCAAGCTCCAAGACGGCCCGAGGCTCCCAGCATGGCCGCAGGACGGCCCAAGAGGCCTCGGGATGGCCCAAGAGTAGGGGAACAAAAAGTGACATAAGCATTAAAAACTCTGAGGTCCGCGCGGATTTCTCGGATCGGCGCTGGACCCCCTCCCTGGCGCGCAGAGCGCGCCAGGGGCGGCGCCGGAGGCGCTGCCGGGGGGCCCCAGCGCCGATCCGAGAAAGTTGCGCGGACCTCCGAGTTTTTATGCTTATGTCATTTTTTGTTCCCCTAAAGAGGACCCAGGGCAGGAGGACCCCGACGCCGGCCCCACGAGGCGAACAAAACAGGCTACAGCCATGCATGTTCCAAGGTTTCCCACGCTCTCCCCGTGACGGGCCCAGAGCGGCCCCTACGCAGCTCCAGGTCCTTCTAAGATCGAACCGAGATGGCCCAAGTGGGCCTCACGAGCTCACCAAGACGGCCACCGAGAGCCCCACGACGGGCCAGAGCAGGCCCCGGCCAGCCTCACAGAGCTCCGCGCTGCCCCCAGGAGACGCCCCGGGAGTTGCCAGGGAGGGCCCAAACAAGACTCCCAGACGGCCCCAGACCCCCATCATGGCCCGAGGGCCTCCCGAGGGTGGCCCCAGGGGCCCCCGGTGCGGCCCAAGAGGGCCCACGAGGATTCCGAAGACGGACCCAGGAGACCAGAATCAGGCAAAAACCGTGCGTGTGTGTGTGAGTGAGTGAGTGAGTGAGTGAGTGAGTGTGTGTGTGTGCGTGCGTGTGTTCCAACGTTTCCCACACTCTCGCCATGACGGGCTAAGAAAGGCCCCGCGCAGCTTCAGGCATTCTCGCAATCGCCCCCACGAGTGCCCAGAATGCTCCAACGAGCGCACCAAGACGGCCCAAGAGGGCTCCAAGCCGGCCCAAGATAGGGGGCCACATTGCGAATCCTACCCCTACCCCCCGCGATTTCTGAGGGGGAGGGTTAGGTTCACTTCGCTCGGGAGCTCTCGAGGGAAGTGAGCCCCACCCTCCCCCTCAGAAATCATGGGGGGCAGGGGTGGGATTCGCATGCGGCCCCCTACAAGAGAGACAGGCACCCGACGGCCTGCTGGAGCTTCGGGTGGCCCCCCAAGACGCACCTGGAGCTGCCCAGGAGGGCCCACCCTGGGATTTTCGACGAAAAATAAAACATACCCCCAAAAATGACAAAGAAATAGTCCAAACATTGTCTGGGGACTATTTTGGGAGTCCTTTTCTACATTTTTGGGGTATTTTTGGGGTATTCTTTTTTTTCGCCGACAATCCCCCTGTAGGGGGACACGCCCGACATAACCCTGGGCTCCCAGACGGCCTCCGTGCGGCTATTCCAGGAGCCCCCGACGGATGCTACAACAAGGGGGTCCGTTGCAGCATCCATCGGGGGCCATCTCTGTCCTCTCACGGGATCTTGGGCCTCCTCCAGCCGTCCTGCATCTCCGTGGGAACGTCCGCAGGCACGGACGGCCCTTTTCGGAGAGGCCCACGAGCTCCCTCCCTGGACCACTCCGAGACGACGCAGGCCTCCCCAGGATGTTCGAAGAAGCCTCCAGCCCCGGCTCCCCGAGCCTGCAGCAAACCATGCAGCTAACCTCAGGGACGACAGGGAGGACCTTTCGACAGCAACCTCACAGCACAGCACGCACGCACAGTAGGTTTCCCGGGCTGTCCCCGAGAAGAGGCTTTGGGGGACAGCCCGGGAACGGCCCCAGAGGCGCCCCAAAACCGCAAGAGGCTTTTTAGACGCCCCAGACAAGCTCGCAGGAGGGCCCAACATGACCCGACACGGCCCCAGGGACGCCCAAGCTGTTCACCTTCGACGAGTTGTTCATCCACGGTGTGCGAGCCCCAGTTTCAGCACATCGTGGGTCTCATCCACGGATCCACACCAGTCACTAGTCAGCTACAGCGCTGTGATCAGCGCGTGCGAGAAGGGCGATCAGTGGCAGCGAGCTCTGTTGCTTCTCAGCGAGATGCGATTGGCGAAGCTGGAGCCCAACGTCATCTGTTTTAGATTGCAGCGACCCCTGGGTGCAAGAAGGGCCCGTGTCCCGACTTGGCCCTGTGCGCCCTGAGAGCCCCCCAGGCGGTCGCCAGCCGCCTCTCCCCCAGGCCTTTTGATTCCCCAAGCAGTGTTTGCATGTAGGGGCTCTTACTTCTCCTCCAAGGAACTGGGCCTGTCTGTTGTTCCGGCTGCTAAGTTGTCGCCGTCGCCACCCCGCCGCCGCCTCGTCGCCGCCCGTCGTCTGGGTCTGTCTGCCGCTCTGGCGGCTATGTTGTCGCCGTCGCCGCCTCGTCGCCGCCGTTGCCACATATATTCTCCTTTCTTTAAAACATTGAATATACCCCTCCCCCGTGGGTTAACGTTCCCCCTTTCTCGCATGGCAACTTATGTGTGATTCTTTCCCATCGTCCATTTCAAGAATGAACTCATCCCATCCCAGGCAGGCCGGTATCGGGCCCCCTGTATCCTGTGCAGAAAATGTCATGCGCGCGCACTCGTTTATCAAACATCCCCCGTGCTCACGATGTTGTTGCAACAGATGGGACGAAGTGCGCACGCGCGCGTCGGCGCGTACGCATGCCGAAATGCTTCAAGCAACCTTAGGTTTCGCACGGATTTCAGAATCGAGTGTGTCGAACACATATACAAAACACATGAATTCGCAACAAACGCTATGGCTTCTGCGAATTCTTACGAAAACCATCGGTGCTTCAACATATTCAAAAGTTGCTACCAAACGGGCCTCTCGCGCGCTCATGTCGGAAGCGCTCGAACGCCCTTGCGCGCGTGCTGTCGCCCTTGCAAGAAATAGGACAGAGTGCACGCGCGCGCGTCGGCGCGCGAGCATGCCGAAATCACTCGAACACTTTACGTGGCGGAATGATTTCAACATCGAGCGTCTTGGAAACATATAAGTCAACACATGTTTTCGAAATAAGAATGTTGTAACACACTTGCGCTCGGGCTTGTGCGACTTCCTAAGGCAACCATCTGTTTTCCGACATGTTCATCGCGTGGTTCCAAAAGGGCTTCTCGCGCGCGCATGTCAGAATCGAACGCCCTTGCGTGCGCGCGCTGTTGCACGAGCTGCCACTTCAAAGCTTTCCAACAACCAGAGGGAGATGTATGTTTTTTGCTTCGCAGGCTCTTCGACGCGAAACAGCTCCAAGACGGCTTCGGGGGACACTCTTGGCCTTCTTGCGGGCCACCTTGGGCCCTCTGGGGGCCCCCATCGAGCCTCCTTCGGGGCCTCCTTGGGACGTCTCGGTCCGTCTTCGGGCCGGCATTGGAGCATTCTGGGCGGTCTTTCTCTGCCTTAAGAGAGCCCAAGGGCGGCCCCAGAGGGCTCCCAGAATATGAAAGAAGGCTTCGGAGAGCTTCCAGACGGCCCGACACGCCGTCCAGAGAGCGCCGCGACAGCCCAACAGACCCCCAGAGAACCCCGAGACGGCCCAGGACGGCCCCAAGAGGGCCCAACAAGGCCCCCAATAGTTTCGGCCATAGGGCCCCCCAGCACGGCCTCCATATCGGGCAGCACACAAACCAGCGCCAGCATCGGCAGCAATTAGTAGCTAGTTGCAGAAAACAAGCAATCGCTGCATTGCCCGCGGCCGGCGGGCGGCCATCCCCGCTGCCGTGGCGTGCGGCAGAGGGTCAGTTGCGACCGCCAGGCCTGCCAGCATGCTTGCAGTGACGTCGGGATGTCAACTGTCTGGCTAGCAGCTATGCGCGCAAAGCAGCAGGCAAGCAGGCAAGCGATCTCAGTTTCTGCACGCGGGCAAGCTATCCGCGCTCAGCTTCTTCATCGGGCTGATCGAAGTGCTGCACGCAGTCTCTGCAAGGCGGCCAAAGTTGACGCTCGTCTTCACGCTCTCCGTACATTCTTGCGCAAGTGCGTCGCTGCCCAGGAGGCGGCCCGCCGCCCGAAGGATTTTGGAGGTCTGGAGCTTGGGCTCTCGGAGGACCGGGAGGCCCGAGAACACATGTACGGAATGCAACTTCACTACGGCGGCCCGGCCTTGACGACGGGCGGCTTGTGGACGTCGCTCAAAATCTCTTACATACCTTTCCAAGGGTGTGATGATTCATGTGCTCGTTGTGGCGCCGCTGTCGAGACAGTGACACATCGTTTGTGGGAGTGGCCTTGCAACTCTGCTGAGCGACGTCTCCTTCATCATCAGGTACCAGGCAACGACTTTCCTCGTGGTCTTCCACCTTGTTTTGCCCGATGCGGTCTTCTGCCGGCCCGTCTTGGAATCGATACGGTCCCTGGCCTGGGGGAGGCGAAGGCGATTTCTGATTATCTTTTACGTGTGAGCGCTATTGCAACTCTGGCCGTGGTGGCCCGACGCGAGGGCAAGCCGGTCCTCCTGGCCTTGGATCGACCACGGGCGTTTCCAGTAGATGACATATACCGTGTCGCTCTTCCTCTTCTTCGTCGTATCAAACGGCATGCAGGAGTGCAGGGCCCGGGAGCAGGAGGAGCACCTAGAGGACTTCATCTTCCGCCTCAACCCGCTCCTGGTTCTTTCCAGGCGCCGGAGGTCATCACGATCTCCTGCGACGGCTCCGCGCAGCAGTCCTCCGACGAGGCGACCTCTGGCTGGGGCTTCACCGTGGCCGTGCCGGCTTCGAACGGGCTCTTGGACTTCTGCGGCCCCACAATATTGGACCCCGCACAGCAGGGGTAGATCGGTGCCCAACATCACACGAATAACGTTTGTGAATTATCTGCGTTATACTATTCACTATGTTGGATTCATGAGTTTATTACTTCATCATATTTTTCACCATCGTTTGTGGTCGAATACGACTCGGCGTACGCCGCTGGCGTGGCGCAGCGGCACACCCGAGCACGGACGAACCTTCAGCTTGTTCTGCGGCTTCGCCACATCTATGATCAGGTCGCTTGTCGTACTGTCTTCAGAAAGGTCGAAAGCCATACTGGGCAATCTTTGAACGAGCGTGCTGATCACCTGGCCGACTGCGGTGCCAGTGGAATCATGCGTGACCCGGTTGATGTACATCGCTGGGCGAGCTCTTCGAGTTAATACGTGGCTTTACGAGGTCAGGCAGCCCCTGATCATTTTCAACATAAGCTATCGTGGACGTAATTCCACGGGTCAGCTCTAATCTCTCCTACATGGCCAGCGGAAGCGTGTGCGAGAATCTCTCCGTGCCTCACGTGCACAAAAACGCCCCTTTACGGCGCCACCACAGGGCCGAATCGCTCAGGCCGGCCTCAGAGGCGCTCCAGAAGGGGTTCCCGGACCGTCCAAGAGCGTTCCGAGACGGCTCAGTGGGTCCCGAGGCGGCCCACGAGGGCGAGAAGCCTTACGGGGGGGGGTCTCCTACGACGATCCAAGAAGCCGCAAAGAGGCCCCAAGAGGGCCCCGAGCGCACGCCAAAGAGGCACACATCGTCAAATTCCCATGGGAAAACATATGTTTTCAGCATGCCCGCCTTATGTGCCCCTCAGCAGCCCAGGACACGCCAAGAGGCCTCCCAAATCGCCCCGAGAAGACGCCAGCGGCCCCTCGGAGGGTTCCAAAGCGGTCCACAAGAGCCCCAAGACGACGCCAGAGAGCCCTGAAACGGCCTCACAGAACCCCAAGACGGCCCCAAGAGAGCTCCGAAGGGGCCCCGAGAGGCTCCCACGACGGCGTCAGGCAGCTTCAAGAGAGCTCCAAGACGGTCCAAGGCCTCCCGGACGCCCCGTGACGGCCCAAAATGGCTCCAAAACGTTTTAAAACGCTCCCAGAGCAGCCCAAGCAAGCTTCAGAATGGCCCGAACAAGACCCCCACAAGGTTCACCTAGCAGACCCAGAGACGCCCATTATAAGAGCGATCGGTGAAGTACAAAGCTCTTCTCACAAAGGCTCCCAAGAGCGAGACGCAGCGTAGAGAGCTCTCCCAGGCACAGCTCCCAAGAGCGAGCGGTGACGTCGGTACACCCTTCCGACCTCTCACACAGGAGCACGCACGCACAGTACGCAAGCACAATCGATTTCCTGGGCTGTCCCCCAGAAGAGGCTCGGGGGGACAGCCCGGGAACGGCCCCAGACAGAGGCACCCAAAACAAATTCAAGAGAAAAGGCCCCGAGGCCGCAAGACGGCCCAAGAGGGCCCCAAGAGGCCCCTAGGAGGCCGCAAGACAGCCAACGAGGCCCCAACAGGCCACCAGGAGCTCGAAAAGAAACCCCGAGAGGCCCATTAACCGTTCCCAGGGAGACGGCAGCGCCCGCCATCAGGCCGGCGGCTTCCATGAGGAGCGCGGCAGGTGCGAACGAGCAGCACGATGGGGGCCATGAGCAGCACGTCTGGCACCACGAGCAGTATGGCGGACTCCATGAGCTGCACGAGTGCCACGAGCAGCACGACGGATAGCATGATCAGCACGGCGGATACCACGAGCAGCACGACGGATACCATGAGCCGCACAACAAGTGTCATGAGTAGCACGACCGACACCATGAGCAGCACGACCGATATGAGGAGCAGAGCGACGGGTATCACGAGTAGCACGATGGGTACTATGAACAGCACGACGGGCACCATGAGCAGCACGACGGATGCGAGGAGCTGCACGACGGGTACCACGAGCAGCACGGCGAATGCCACGAGCTGCCCGACGGGTGCCACGAGCAGCACGACGGATACAATGAGCAGCATTCGGGATACGATGAGCGGCACAACGGGTACCACGAGCAGCACAGCGGGTACCATGAGCAGCTCGACGGACACGATGAGCAGCACGACGGCTACCAGGTGCAACAAGACGGGTACGATGAGCAGCACGGCGGATACCACGTGCAGCACAACGGATACCAATGAGCTGCCACGATTCCCACCCCGACCGCGGCTGGGTTGATGGCCCAGACCAGCTTGCAGGCTCCCTTGCCGCCCAGCTTTCCAACCCCCGCATCGACCAGCTCACCGACTCCTGTACCGACCAGCTCACCGACCTCCGCACCGACCAGCTCTCCGACTTTTGCATCGACCA